TTAGGTTCTCACAGGAGCACGAACCCTATTGTGAACTGCACACAGGAAGGATCTAGGTTGTGCACTCCTTATGAGGATGTAATGCCTGATGACCTGAGGTGGAACTGAGGCGGTGATGCTAGTGCTGGGGAGTGGCTGCAAATACAGATCATCATTAGCAGAGAGGTCTGACTGCACAGAGACCACAATAAATCAACTGCTTGAAGACTCATATCAAAACCCTATCAGTGAGTGGCAAGTGACAATTAAGCTGCATCTGGTGGCAGGCTTTATAGTGACAAGTGAGTTGATGTACTTCAATTGTACAGCTGTATCGGTGGCAGGCTTTAAGTCAGAATCATACACTTATTTTAGTCTGCATATGGCCCTCCCATTATTTTATTTACCACTTCTGTCCGTGCCTCTTTCCTGCACTGCGCACTTGTCTCAGTCACAATTTTGGTAAGCCTACAAGCTAACCCTAGCCAAAATGAGCTAAAAACAAATGCCACTGGAGAACTTTGAAAAGGGGGAAAGGCCCAATGATGAGACAGCAGAAGATTCTAAGACCTCCAACAAAAAGCTGCATTTAAAAGAAAATACCCACAGTCCTACTTAAATTAGAGGTTCACTGCAACAGGCGATTCATTCTCCAAGCCCACTTCATATAATATGTGGTGACCAGCTATCCAATTAAGCCATGAAACCTTCAAAACTGCTTTGCCACATGGAGACCAAGCACCCTGCATTAAAAGACCAGCCTTGGTGTTTTTGAAAGGAAGAAATGTGAACATGAAGAACAGAAGCAATTATTGAAGGCTGCCACTTCAAATGTGTGTACACTGAATAAAGCTTCAGTGTAGCTTTATTAACATCATTCTTAGTGGCCAACCATTTTGCTAAAGCTAAGCAGCCCTTTACAATTGGTGAAGAGTTGATCCTGCCTGCTGCTAAGGACATTTATCGTGAATTTTTAGGAGAGGCTGCAGTTCAAAAGGTATCTAGTGTTCTTCTTTCAGCTAGCACCCTAACTAGTCAAACTGATGAAATAGCAGAGGATAATGAGGCACAATTGTCAGAGAGGATTAATGAGTCACTGTGGTACCCAAGCCAGGTTGACCAGTCTACTGATCTTGACAACAAGGCAACAACAATGCTTGTTTTTGTGCCATGTGTTTTCAGGAGGATGTGCATGAGGATATGTGTTGTGCACCTTTGTTGCCAGTCAACACCACAGCTGCAGAACTGTTCCAGTCTTTGATTACATATCAGGAACACTGAATTGGTCATTTTGTGTCAGTATATGCACGGACAGAGCAGCTGCCATGACTGGACTGCTTTCTGGTTTCACTGCTCAGGTCAAAGAGCTGGCTTCTGAATGTGAGTCTATGCACTGTGCAGGCTAGCTGAAAAATGTCACCTGAAGTTAACGACGTCTTGCAGGATGTGATTGAAGTTATCAACCACATTAAAGTCCACCTTAACTTACATCTATGCCTGCAGCTCTGTGAGGAGATGGATGTCTTCTCTTACACATGGAAGTGAGATGGCTTTCTAAAGGGAGATCACAGGCCAGAGTTTTCAAGTTAAGAGAGCTGCTGCAGAGATTTCTTTCAAAAAAACAGTTACACTGGCAGCACATTTCAGTGACACGGAGTGGGTCATAAAACTTGCTTACTTGTGTGACATATTCAACCTGCTCAATGAACTCAGTCTGTCGCTTCACAGGAGAATGACAACTGTGTTCAAGTTGGCAGATAAAGTGGCTGCATTCAAAGCCAAACTGGAATTATGGGGGCGATGGGCGAACACTGGGATTTCTGACATGTTTCAAACATTAGCAGAGATTTTGAAAGAGACTGAGCCAGGGCCTTCCTTCTCCCAGCTGGCGTGTGATCACCTCTCAGCTCTCAGAGGAGCTGGAGCATTACTCCCAACCACAGAGACCCCCGAACTGGGAAGGAATGGATCCTCGACCCATCTGTGAATAAGCCAGGTGAACTGATTTTGTCCGTGCTAGAAGAGGACCAACTGCCTGAGATTGCAAATGACAGTGGCCTTAAAAGTATGCTTGAGACAACTTCAAATCCCCATACGTCCTGAACTAAAGTCACGGCAGAATATCTGGAGATTGCCACAAAAGCACTGAAACGTCTGCTGCCATTTCCAACATCCTGTCTTTGTGAAGCAGGGTTTTCTGTAGTGACAGCACCAAAATGAGATCACAGAGTTGACAGGACAGAAGCAACACACTCCGGGTGTTACTGTTTCCCATCACCCCCAGATGGGCCGTCTAGTTGTGGGAAAACAAGTTCAGGGTTCCCACTGATTCTGCATTATGGTGAGCTGTGTAATTATTTCATTATATGTTACAATGCAATAATAATAATAAAAATAAAGTGCACAATAAACATAATGTGCTGGAATCATCCCAAAACCATCCCCACCCCCGATGGTCTGTGGAAAAATTGTCTTCCACAAAACCAGTCCCTGGTGCCAAAGAGGTTGGGGAGCACTGCTCTACCAGGCTCTACCAGGCTCTACTGCAGTGGGTGGGGGTGAGGTGGGCAGCGGGAGGTGGGTCTGGGGTCTGCAGCTTTGCCTGACTACTAGTAATGGTGGCCGCCAGTCTGCTGCTGCCACGCTGCTGTCCCATGTCTCTGCCAGAGTTTAGTCTCAATTGGTGCTGGCCACTGAGGCAGAAATGTTGCTTCTGGCCCGCTGGGAAGCCCGGTGTGGGCTTCAACCCAACTCCTTCCTCCCTACCATGTCAGCTGGGGCCACAGTGGTGCCAGACTGCATGTGTGGCCCACGTCACTGTCCTTCCCCCTGTCTTATCTCTCCTGCTTGTTCTGATGTGACCACCTTCAGATGTCCAATGCATGGATCTCTCGGACTTGTTTGTGTGTTGAGCAAGGGAACCTTTGTTGAATTATAGTTACCTGAGTTGTTGCCACTCTAAGGGGAGAAACCAAGGAGTCTCCTCACTCTGCCATGATACAGAGTCCTCTCTGCCCTTTGTAGAATCTAATGTCCTTATCACATCTTGTTGCATCTCTGCTTGTGGGGTTACTCAGGACATGGCCCCTCCATGACCTCAGAGAACAAATGGTTGACTGGCCAGTGGCCATAAGGCACAAGGAGTCTGTATCTGAATGTCCGAGCCCTCTCAAGGCCCCTTTGTTTATCATAAACATGTAGAGCTTTCACATGCCATTGCTGCTCCCTCCTCTGCCACTGCCCCCTCCCTAACCCTGTAAGTAGCACTAAGACCGGAGGTGAGGTGTGGTCTCTCTTGCCTAACCAGCAGTCATCAGTGTGCTCCCCTGTAACCCGAGTAATAAACCACATGCCCACATCTGCTGGTCCTCCGGGTGGTTTTTACAGAATATCAAAAACACAAGTGCAGCTCCCTAGCTTGGAGTCCTGCATTACACTGCCTTTATCAAATGCAGTTTTTTTTTTTAATCCTCACTAGAGAATATGTCCATTGATTTTAGAGAAAGAGGAAGGGAGAGGGAGAGGCACTGATGTGAGAGGGAAACATCAATACATTGCCTCCCATACATGTCCCACTGGGGAATGAACCTGCAATCTACATATGTGCCCTGATTGGGAGTTGAACCCACAGATTTCTGATGTATGGGACGATGCTCCAACCAAATGAGCCACTGGTCAGGGCTCAAACCCAGTCTTTTGTGACCCAGCGATGTAGGATGCTGGGGTGAGGGAACAGGGTTCCTGTCTCTGCAAGGCTGCTAACTAGCTGAGTAATTGTGGGAAGCCCCTCTCCCTCACTGATCTTCACTTTGTTTTCATTGTTTATGAGATTTGATTGTGAAACCTCTTTCAGTGGTATTTGCAATATTCTTCAATTTCTTACCTCCTCCAGGAAGACTTGTTGGTCTGCCCCAGAATTCCTCTCCATCCACTAACTGATATTTTACTGTAGTCGGTAAAAATTATAGTCGCTTTAGAAATTATTTGTTCTTTGGCAATTTATTAAGCATGTGATACTATGAAACCGGTAGGGCAAAGTCAGGCTGATGGAGACAGCAAGGCACGAGACAGGCCATGGGAGAGGGAGAGGGTACTGTCAGGCCGGGAAGGGTGGCCGGGCAGAAGGGCAGGCCACAGCTTGGTGAGGTAGGGGGAGCACTTGTCTGGGAATCAGCTCTAGGCCTGTGTCTAGTGCAGATTCTGCCTCTAAATGGCCACGGGACCTTCCCAGACTCATTAGATTGGGATCTTTGGCCAGGAAAATGGGGAACAGGCATTTCTTAAAATGTTTCAGTTGGTTTTAATGCACAGTGAGGGGTTATAGCTGCTAGTTTATACAGCTTAGTGGAGCAAAACAAATCTGGGTTCAAGGCTAATCCTTGCTGCTTGATAACAACGTGACCTTGAGACAGTTGTTTAACACTCTGAATCCCAGTTTCCTCAACTGTAAAGAGTGTAACAAAAATCGCTCAAGATGTTCAACAGAGGAAATGGTACAGACTTGCCCTAATACTGAAGGCACTGTGGGAAGGACAGTGGCCAAGATGACATAGGGACAGCCTGCTGTGTAGGTTTGCAAAGTTTTCTGGAGAATCCATAAATAGCTAAAAAATTTTCTTTGATACACAGAAAATGTATCTACTTAGCTCACCTACTCAGGTACAGAATGCACAGACTAACAGCTCAACCACATGCCAGATAATCAGTTTACTCCCAAAAGTGCACGGACAGGATTCATGTTTCCCACGCTCCCTGCAGTATCCTCCTCCCCACCCTCTGGAGTCATTTTTTTCCCTTTGTTTCTTGGCTACTGAGACCTAGAGCTGACTCCTCACAGGTGAGAAACCAATTGCTTGCAAACTAACCTAATTAACATCAGAGCTTTCTTTGCCATTAAGGTGTGATGAGGAATGTAAAGTGCCTGCACCGCCAGCCCTTAGCCAGGGCTAGCTCTCACCTGGGAATGACTGGGACCCCTCCCCCACCCAGAGCCTCTGCTTTTCTTTTCTCCCTTCCCGTAGATTCCGCTGCACTGTGCACCCTTTCTGCGAAAGGCTGACCCTGCAGAAGGTGCTGGTCACCATTGCAGTCACCTGGGCCCTGGCCCTGCTCATCATGGGCACCTCCGCTGTCGTGCTGTCATGCACAAGGAGCACCATTTCATGGTGGACACTCACATTTGCTCCTCCTGGCTCTACTTGTGCTGGGAGGCCTGGCCTGACAAGGGCCGTACCAGGTCTACATTGCCGTGTTCTTTTCACACACCTACCTTGCACTGCTGAAACTCTTCATGGTCATGTATGCCTGCCCGCAAGCTTGTCGAGGCCTCGGGCCCAGCCAAGTGGGCAAGGAGGTCAGCTGGGAACAGGTGGGGGCTCTGGCACGAGGCCAAGGTCGTGCACCTGCTAGTTGTGGGGGCACTCTCCTTCACCCTGTCCTGGCTGCCCCTCTGGGCACTGTGGCTGTTCACCCACCACCAGCAGCTCAGTGAGTTGCAGCAGCACCTGATCCCTGTCTACTCCTTCCTACTCCTTCCCCTTTGCCCACTGGCTGGCCTTCTTCAACAGCAGCACCAGCGCCACCATCCGTGGCTACTTCGACAAGAACTTCTGCCATGGCTTCCAGGCTGCCTTCCATGCCTGGCTCTGCCTGGTACAGTAGGGGAGCCACCAGAGGACCTACTGCTCTCATGGGTAGGTGGAGGCGCAGCCCGGACTCTGGCCTGACGTCCGAGGTGGGGTCTCGCAGCGGGAGCTCCCAGGCCTGGCTGCCTCCTGCCACACCATGACCCCACGGCACACCATGGCTCGGCTGGGGAGGGCCCTGGCTGCTCTCAGCCTGGGACATTTGCGTGGCATAGGGAGGGCAGCCCCTGAATCGGAGGGCCGGGACTGGACATGTGAGACCTGCACGTGATAGCAGCCTGGTGCGGTTTTGAAGAGGGTGCCATGGTGCCTGCTTCTCAAATACAAGACAGTGGGCAGCTGCTAACGTTATCTTCTCTACTACCTCCCCTTCAGAGAGGGAGGGGAGGGAAGAGGAGCTAAGCTTCTCCCAAAGCGTTCTGTGTGGTAGACGCCAGGAACTTAATCTTGTGGAATTCTCAGGATGATACCGGTAACCTGGCCAGTACTGGGGTGCCAGCAGGAGCAGGGGGGAGGGGCCTCAGGGGCAGTGCGGTATTGCCCCGGTAAACAAGCTAGTGTGGCTGTGAGGACAGGTTGCCCCACCCCTGGCAAAGATGCTGCAGGAGGAAGCCATTGCTCTGAGCACACACGAGGCTAGCAAGGGTCACTGGCAAAGGGGAAAGACCTCCTTCTCCTGGTCCCTGGGTAGGGGTGAGACCAGAGCACCTGGCCATAAATACCCTAGAGGTCAAGATGGCGGCAGGGGGAGGTGCTGTGCTGGAGAAAGACCCGTCAGTCTAGCCTGGGAAAGAGATGGGATTGGTTGGAGGAACGGACTCTCCCGGAGCTCGAAAGTTTGGGCTGGAAGATTTAAGCCAAGGGTAGGGAGGGGCAGGTCCTCTTGGACCCATCTCGTGGAGGTACTGGCTGGAGCGTTTACAGATCAGCTGGCACTGGAAGCCGCATGGTTAATGGCAGCTCCAACAACACACATAGACCCCTGAAGGGAGCATGAAGCCGGAGAGCCTCCTGCTTAGCCACCTCAGGCTCCAAATGACAGATGAGGATGGAACAGGAATTCTGGCATTGTTTTGGGCTTTGGCCTTTTTGGGAACAGCTTTTGTTTGTATTTTGTGGAAGAGACGAGCCTGGAGATGGGGAATCCCCTGTTCTACCAAGTTGCACAGCATTTTAATAAAGACCTCTTTCTTTCTTCACCAACCTCTGTCTCTGGAATTTGCCTGGGGCAGCCAAGCTCTACTTTTGTTTGGTGACAATAACACTTCGGGAATGGGCTTCCCTTTCTCCCTTCTGCAGACAAGAGACTGAGGCCTGGAGAGCCACGGCTCTCCAGGCCCTCAGCTGGAAATCTCGCAGGAGCACAGCCAGCTCCACTGCCTCTGTGATTGTGTCATCTCCGGCTGTCTCCGAAAGCACCCGTTATGGTGGAGCATAGTGAGAGGTATAAATGCTAAATAGGCTGCTGGAAAGAAGCTGAAAGCACAGCTGGCCCACACATGTGGTTCTTTGTGTCCACTTTTTTGAGTCTCTCTCATGTTACTGAAGCCCCTCCCCTTGACTCCTTCCAAGATGAACATGGTATGCCCCTCCTGCCAGCTTTGTGTGGGTATGTCTTGTTGATGTCCAGGGCAATTCACTTTTCCCCAAAGTACTGCAACAGGACTTCACGCCTGAGCAGCCGCAGAATGCTGAGTGTAACCTGAAGACCCTGCATCAGTACCTGCAGGCACTCTGGGTCTTGCCCTCTGGTCTCAGCCCTGTGGGGGTGGGGAACTTTGTCCTCCCTCCTCTCCTCACAGGGGACTCACCACCATCCCCTGGCACCCAGGCAAGAACTTACAGTGTGACAGGCTGCTAGCTGCAGGGTCACATGGAAGTATCAGTTTATTTACTTTTGGACAGGAGGAAGGGCAAGCACAGGACCCCTTTTTCTGCCTTTGAAACACATCTGCTCACTGGAGCTGCAAGCACAAAACCTTCTGAGGCCTTTTTCCACCGTCCCCTCCTGGGAATGTGGGGAGAGGAAGTTGGCAATCCAAAGCCGGTGTGCCCTTGTGGCCTACTAGAAGACAAGCACTAAATCCCTCCCCGACACGGATAACTCATGTCCCCTAAACAGGGCCAGGAACTAGGAGCTCCCCTGTATACTCTGACACTCTCCCAGCATGCCTGCAACACTTTGGAGAAACTAGGCTTCTTCTAGGGCACAGGTGGCAAACACAAGTCCTGTGGGATTCACCCGGCACCTTCTTTCTACCCAGTTGCAGCACCGAGCTCTTGCTTAACTGTTAAGGAGTAGTTGCATTTTTACAGTCCTAAAATTATACTGGGCCCTTTGAAGGCAATCATGAGGCTGATGTGGCCCCCAGTGAAGACAAGTTTGACACCCCTGGTTTAGGGGATGGGAGGAAATGGGGTTGCCTTGGTGATCCTTGCACAGCCACAATAAACTTGACATTTCCCTGCATTTCTGTAGAAAACACAGGGTTGCTAGAATTTTAGTGAACAAAAAAAGAAACTTTACCAGAAACCAGGGCAGAGAATGGGACTCCAAGGCTTCAATTGTTTTCTTAATCTACAAACAATGACTTAATCTTATTTATGCCACTTTAAGGACACATGTAGAACAGAAGGAAGTTTCTGAACAATTGTGTAATCCCTTCTAAGCAAGTCCTCAGACACTGTTTCGATTGAATCATGCAAATGAGGTAGAAGACATTGCTGCCATTTCCAAAGTGACCGAGGCTTAAAGGGGCCAAGGGCACAGGCCACAGAGGGGCGGGGTTTAGATTAGATTTGTCTTCTGGTGGTTTCTTCCTACACTGCCTCCTGCCTCTCAGGAAAGGTGGCTTGGGGATAGCAGGGAGGTTTTTTGCCTAACGATGAAGCAGAATGTTGGAACCAGCATCCCTACCATCAAGTTCCTGGCCTGGGAAATGAGTCTGTTGTGTTGACTCTTTTAATATCTGGCCTGAGCTGCTCTGAGTACAGTATCTCTGAACCCATGTGTCGAACAGGGTGCCCAGACACTAGGGTCCTTCACGACCCTGCCCAGCCCAGGTGTCTGGAAGTGAGGGATGAGGGTCTCAGGAGGGGGTGTGCCCTCCCATCCCTCATTAGCTAGTGCGTGTATGGGCCCCGTTTTTGGTGCTGTGTCAGTGTTATGCGGCACATAGAGCAGAGAGCTGCTGGTTACTTACTGCCAATAACTTTGACTCCAGGCTCTAAAAATAGTCCAGAGAAAGGGCAATCTCAAGCCCAAATGCTCGCCCCCGTGGGTGCAATCTGTCCAGAGACGCTGCCTGGTCACTCTTCTGGAGTGTGCTTCTTTCTCCTTTAGCATGGCCTCCCCGACCACAGACTCAGCCTCTACCACTAGGGGAAACCAGGATGCTCACCCAAGCCAACCTTTCCACCAAGGCCCCTTTGTCTCATTCCCCCTGAAGGTGTCATGCTTTGAAAGACAGCGCCTGCCAAGAAAGCTGCACTAGGTCCTAACTGATATATTTTGCTGTTAGTTTTATTTATTTTTAAGAATCAATCAAAGGCTATGCCTGCCAATTTAGAGATTTGATCTAAATGGTAAGCAACATGACGTGATGCTTGTATAAGGGGGTGAGGCTTTGTGGGTACCTGTAGAGTGTTTAGTTTTTATGCATGTTGTAAAATATACGCAACATAAGATTTACCGTTGTAATGATTTTGACATGTACAGTTCAGGGACGTCAAGTGCCTTCACGCTGTTGCATAACCATCACTACTATTTCCAGAACTTTTCTTAACACCCCCAACTGCCACTCTGTACCCATTCAACAAATCCCCATTCCTCCCAGCCCCTGGCAACCACCGTTCTACTTTCTGTCTCCAGGTACTCTAGGTACCTCATACAGAAGGAGTCAGTTCTTGTCCTTAGTGACTGGTCTCTTTCACTTTGCACCGCATCTTAAGGTTTGTCCATGTTGCAGCATGTGTCAGTACTCTGTTCCTTTTTAAGGCTGGACATATTCCACTGTGTAGGTCCACACTGCATTTAGTCTGCCCACTTGCAAAAGGCAGTTAGGTAGTCATGACAGGAGCAGGAATGACGGGCCAGGGCAGAGGGTCACCAGGGCCGAGAACATTGGGTGCCTAGCGACGGGCACAACTACAGGCCCTTGCACAGCCACTCCATTGAGCATTAGCTTTTGGAGATGACATCTGGGCCTTAAGCTGCGCTTCAGCTCCAGGCCCAGAAAAGCATCAAAACCAGACAGAGCAGAATACGATGCCATGGCTGACACCAGGACCAGCTGCAATGACTAACGATGCCTCCCCTGGTGCCAACCAATCAGTGGAGACCACATTTTATTGGGATCCTCCCCTGAGATCTCAGGTAAAAGCCCACAGGATGGAGGACCCATCTCTGTCTGTCTCTCTCTGTTTCTCCTAATCCAAGGGCCCTTCTTTTGCCTCTGTAGCTTGTTTCCTGAGCCCATTTCTTTACAGCTCACTTCTACCTCTGTGACTTTCTAAATAAACTTTCTCTTCTAATTTGAGTCTTGGCTCTGAATTCTTCTCTTAGCTAGAGCTCAGGAACTGAGGTTGCTGAACTGAGGCTAACACCTGGTGCCATTTTTTCCACCCCTAACACAACTCATTCATCAATGGACACTTGGGTTGTTTCCACCTTCTGACTATTGTGAATCATGTGTGGAGTTTTAAGTTCCTGAACACAGTGCCTGTGTGAGCACTGAGGACAGAGACCCCAGAGTGGGAACCGGGATCTCTCCCAACTTAGCATTTAGGGACGAAGCAGAGTCTCTGAGGGAAGCTGTGATTGTCTCCCTCCCCCATGCGCACCCCAGATGCTCTGTGCTCCTCCTGCTGGGCTTTACTTGTTAACTAAAGTGGCTAAAAAATTGTGTGTTTTTGCCACAGTATATTTTATGAAGCTATTTTTATAAGTATAGCTTTATGACCTTCACCAGAATCCTATATCCAGGTACCTGGGCCCTGTCAGGGGCCTCGTCGTTACCCAAGGCATGCAAGGGCTTCACACAAGGACTTCCTGGACAGGACAGCCCGTCCTCCACCTGCAGGCCGGTCAGGTCTCCTAAGGTGACTGCCCTTTCAGGGGTGGGAAGTCTGGAGATGAACTGGATGTATGACGGAGGAAAAGGGCCAGCAGCCTGTTGACACTGAGCTTCCCTAGTCTAGAGGGGCCCTTGCAGGGATTCTGTGTCCCATCT